GCCATCCACTTACAGCAAAGGCCAGAATAGGAAGCAATGCAGGGAAAATCTGGGCTGTGCTTCAGAAACTGTTCTTGCTTACAGTGGATTTGCTCCACCTTTTGTGACCCTTTGAATGAGTGATGTCCACAGTATCCTGTCCTCAATGCTTCTCTACTTACCGCCTTTGAAAAAAATGAGGCCCCATGGGAGAAATCTTGTCTGTCCATGTCAGGATTAATTATGCTTCTCATAGGGGACAATGACACTGAATCATACTTGATATTTCCCTTTTTCTACTTGTTTTAGGATGCTCACAGTCAAATTGGCGATTCACACATACAAGAACACCAGGCAGCTTTTTTACTCCTGCTCTGTCTTCAACTTGTTCCCTGCCCTTATTACAGAGTCTAGAAGAAATTTTGAGTTGGCCAAAAAGTCTGTATGGTTTTTCCCATAAAATAAAAGACACATTTTCCACTTTCACCAATAACTTTATTGATTTGGATATTTTGAGTGCGTTAGCTTTCTCTCGTGTGGCAGAACGTTGATTATTGTCAATGAATGTCTCGATTTGATCATTATCAACTTTAATTGATCTATCTGACTGTGAGGCCTTGTCCAGCGAGAAATCTCTACCACAAAACTTCCCAAACCACTTTTGACATGTTCGATCAGTCACAGCACCTTCTCCATCCACTGCACAAATCATTTTCTGCGTTTCAGTTGTGTTTTTACCTTTCTTGGAATAATAAATAATATACAGAAAATGTTGTGTATTTTCTTACATCTTCACTATTAAAATGGCTTCACAAAAACCAATTTTGATGTCTTTTTTAATGCATGCTGCTATGATAGCTGTGACAATACAATCTAACAACATTATTTCGAATGAAGAGAACTAAGTACTTATTAGAGCCCTGTTACGGAAAACAACAAACGAACTTTTTGGCCAACCCAATATATTATCGCACTGCATGAATTTACATAAGTTACCTCAAAACCCTTTTTGCAAGAAGGCCTCACCTCCTCTTCCCAGCTGAACTGGGTGGAGGCTGTCAGCACACTTTGGTTCCCTGTATGGTGCGGGTTAATTCCTGTTACACACCGGCACAGCCCCTTCCTCAATCAGCCTCCCACCCGTCCAGGAGGGGAGGCCAGACTCTGGCTTCAACAGGCCGGGCCGCCGCTGGGTCTACCCACCCCCGCGCTCAACTTATTTATCCTCTCCCCTCACCCCGGCCTCCCATTTCCCCCATCACAACATACCCGCCCCCAGCGGCACGGCCAGCTTTCCTCCGCCCACCACACCCCACTTCCCCGCGTGGCCTCTCCCTCGCGGCTCCGCCCCTTCCGGCGGGCGGGAGTGGAGGGGCGGGGCCAAGCAGAGTGGAGTGGAGGGGCGGGCCGGGCCGGTAAGAGCCTGCGTTCCGGGCCAGCGCCCCGCGGCGGCGGCAGGCCGGCCATGCTCATCACGCTCTGCTACCTGTACCTGTGGGCGCGCTGGGGGTGCCGGCCGGTCGCGCTCGTGCGCACCACAGTGCGGCGGCTGCGCGCCTCTCGCTGTTCCTTTACGTTCTGCGGCGCGGCCGCGCAGCCCCGGGACGCCCGCGTGTGCCTGAGCCGCGGCGGCCGCGTCTTCTGTGTCAGTGAAACCCAGGTGGGCGGGAGGGCTGCGGCGCGGGCAGGGGGCCGAGGGCGGGCGGGGCGGGGCGGGGCGCTGTGGGGGCGGGGCCTGAGGGGGCGGGGCGGCAGGGCGGGGGTCGCGGCCTCTGGGCCCCTCACCCAGCAAGCCAATCCGGAAGCGCCCGCCCGCCCTGGGCCGGTGAGAACCTGGGGAGCACCTTCCGCGCCGGCGCGAGGCCGCGGGCGGGATGCCCCTGCGCGCGATGCCCGGGGAAGCCCGGATACGGGGACCAAAGATCCGAAACTGAAAGGTGACGCGGTCGCCTCCTCTCGGCGCGCGGGATCGCGTGTTGCTTACACGCCGGCTTCTTGGCATTCCAAATTAGGCGTGTACCCCTATGACCGTGCCGTGGCCATTAGCTCTGAACCCGAGACCACTACCCGCTTGGTCCCCTGACATTCTCTCCTCCGCTGTGGGTTGAAGTTTAGTTGAACCGGAATTTAGGGGAAGGCAGCGGATCCCCAGCTCTGTCAGATATCTCCGAGGGGACACAAACTGCCTGACTTCCTGTCCTGTCAGTTGCATCATTTGCCAGCCAGGGCACCCCACCGATTGTCTTTGCATGTGTTGTATGTAGGTTTGCACAGTCTTTGAGTTTTGGCCCAGGACGTAGCCCGGTGACTACCAGTTCAGTCGGCGCTGTGGTTTAAGCTCTGCAAAACCTCTGTGCTCCGTAAAAGGAACTATATCTTTCTTTCTGTTCTTTCCATTGGCAATGGACTTGATTCACAGTGCGGTTCTGCGCAAATTTCCATTGAGGTCATTGAGGGACGTTATTTTCGTTAACATTTCAAAGTGTTCTGCTTTTCATCGGTTTCTTGCCCTTTCCTTCTGGGAAGTTAACTCATTTTTAGCATTAAAATGAGATTTTTCTGTGTGTGCGCCCTAACACCGTGTGGGAATGAAAATCTTATCTCAGGTTTGAATATTTTTTTGAGGTTACCCTTAGGTATGGGATTATACTGTGCTGCCAGCAAATCAACAATACCCTTCGTTGTTAGTCTACTGTAACACACAGAATATAAGCAACTATGTCTCAGATCTAAGAAGGTGCATATCTGGTACCGCCTAGGTGCAAAGGGGTGGAGTTTATTTATTACGTTTAGTGGATGCGGGAAGGCAAGAGGGCCTCATTTTCTCAAGGAACCCTGGTTGAGAAGGATAAGAAAGTGAGGGAAAATGGAGGGGTGGGTTTTTCTATTGTACTGGTTTCCGAACTGGGTCATTTACTAAAAACAAACAAACAAAAATCTGTAAGGATTAGAGTGGAGATTTTGAACATTAAAAAATATTGAGAGGTAAATGTCTTTAACTTTTTTGGAATGACAGTTTTATTTTGGAACATCTCCATGACTTTACAGGTCTTCTGTTGACTCCAGCAACTACCTAATGCTGTTCAGCCCTTGCCCACTGCTTCAGCCAAACCTGCCTTAGGCTTCGAGGGATTCTGGGGTTCTGTAGCTTGCTATGTCCCCAGCTCTCTGCATAGTTGGCTTGACCCCAGAGCTTTGCTCAGATATCAGTGTCTTACCCTCCCAGACTGGATGGGACCCGCCTGCTTGTGTCCTCAGGGTTTAAATCACAGTTCATCTTTCCAGGTTTTATTTTTTTTCCTTAGGGTCTGGGTCTGTTTAGCTTTGTCTCTTGACATGTAATAATCACTTACTCAATATTTCTTTTTTTTTTTTAAAGATTTTTTAGAGAGGGGAAGGGAAGCAGAAGGAGAGGGAGAGAAACATCAGTGTGTGGTTGCCTCTCGCATATACCTGATGGGGGTCCCGGCCTGCAACCCAGACATGTGCCCTGGCTGGGAATTGAACCAGCAACGCTTTCCTTCGCAGGCCGGCACTCAGTCCACCGATCCACAGCAGCCAGGGCTCCCTCAGTATTTCAATGAATGAAGGCGTGTTTAGCAGTTGTTATGTTTAAGCCCTGATGTTAAATGCCTACAACTGAAAAGCTTGACAATTTATTTGATTAGCTACTGATGTCTTCACCTGAAGACATACTTATTGATTTTAAAGAGAGGGGAAGGGAGGGAGAGAGAGGGAAAGAAACATTGATCAGTTGTCTTTACGTACCCCCACCAGGGACCAAACCCGCAATCCAGGCATGTGTAGTGGAGTGAAACCCACAATGTGGAACTGAACCCGCGACCTTTCAGCATACAGGACAATGCTCCAGCCCACTGAGCCACACTGGCCAGGGCCAGCTACTATTATTTTAAGATTTAAGATATCATGGGGCTGATGATTTGGTTCAGTGGGTACCTTATTGTCAGTCTGCCTGGACTGAAATAACTTTACAGAACTGAATCTTATGCCTTTGTTATCTTTTTATTTTACATATTGAAAATTAGATGCAAAAATGTGGAATGTGTATAATTGAAAGTCCCACAAGAATTGATAAGTATAATCAACAGTAGTTTATACAGACAGGAAAATTTTACATTTTTGTTTCATGTGCACATTTTCGCTGTTGGAGTAAGTGGACAATCCGCTGTTTGTTTTAATTCTTATTGTGATAATTATATTTACTCACATAGAGGAGTTTTTTTCTCCTCCAAATTTTCACTCTTTTATGAGTTCAGCAGATAATCAGCATGTACTGTGTTCCAGGTTACTAGGTCTGATGGAAACACCTTTTGGTCTTCCCAGCAATGGCTGAAATGATTTGCAACACTGGGGAACCTGACCCAAATGCCTTTTTTTTTTCTTTTCTTCAGTGGTGATGCTAACTAAGTCTTGCTCCCTGCAGCCTTAGATTTCAGCTTTTTCTGCTCTGGGTGTCTTGTTTTTAGTAGGTCAAAACCTTAAAATTGATTTACTGTCTTTTTAGAGAGATTTCAGGAAGGAGAGTAGAGATTAGTGGACTTAATCCCATCTGCTAACCAATCTTGGAGGAGAAGGAAGAACAGCTCTTCGGGCTTCCTTTAGTAACAGGCTCCTGTTTACAGGGATGGGCTTCTGAGCCGCCTCCCCTTTGCATGCCCCTCCAAGTCGTCATTTGGAACACTCCTACATGCTCTAGTCTAAACAGTAAGGGATGGTAGGAATAAGCCCAGATTCAGAACTGATTGCTTGATAACAAATATCTAGAGATGTTAAAGTTGTCTTGAGTTGTGGAGGAGATCTTGCAGTTGTTCGAATAGCCTCAGCTCAACAAGAAACAAGAAGCGCGGGGTGAACGTGGTTTGTGGGAGGGCGCCGGAGAACCTTACTTAGATCCCGCCTGGAATTATAGGTGGGGACGTCCTGGATGTTGAGGTAAGTGGCTGTTGTGGTTTGGGCTGATATTAAATCCTTTTTTGTGTGCTTTCTTTCTCTCTATCCAGTCCATTGATGACTTGAACAAATGGGCCCTGTTTCTTGTTTCTCCTCTTATACTGGAAGCTGAACACATAGCATTTGTGACAGAGAGCATTTGGGTGCAAGGTGAGAATTTACAGAGACCTTCTTCATCCTCAGACACCGTGAGTAACATGTCTTTCCCTTGTGTATTGTTAGGAAACTATGTCTTAATTAAAACTAAATTCGTTTTCTTACAAGTGCTTTTTCCTGGCCTTTGTGACTCCCTTTCTTTTTGGATGTTTTGGGTTAAATTAAAATATATTAGTGACATTACTTTTACCTGTTTTTCTTTTTTGGTGTGACACCTGTGTGGCTTGTGTCTGTGGGGGACCCCCGCCCCCGACCTGTGCTATCGTCAGGCAGCACTGCTCCGGTCCCTTCGGTCATTTAGTCCATCCCCATCCCACGCCAAAAGCTTCGAGGCTGAAAGCTGTCCTGAAAGAACGGCTTTGGTGAGCCATAGGCTACTGGACAAAGGACCAGGTCCTAGGACACACTGTCTAACCCACCAGCATCCAGGCTGGATGGAGAGGACAAACACGCCCACTGTCCTAGAGCTGCTGGGGCTCTTTTATCTCACAGGTTTGGGAGAAAGGATGTAGGCTGTTTTGCAAGAGTTTACACTGGTTACGGATAAGGAAGTGGGGAAGGTGAACGGGGCAGTCCTAGGCGGGGCGTTTCCCGCTGCTGGATCTCTTGTGGCGGCAGGCTGGAAAGCTCGTGCAAAGGCAGGGTGTGGTGGTGGCTGGTGGCTGTCATCTTTATATATATAGGTTTTATATATATATATATATATATATATATATATATATATATATATATTCTTTAGTGATGATTTTAGAGAGAGAGAAAGGGAAAAAGAAACACTGAGGTGAGAAACATCAATTGGCTGCCTCGTGTACATGCCCTGACTGGGGATTGAACCTGCAATGTTGTGGGGCATGGGATGGTGCTCCAACCAACTGAGCCAACTGGCCAGTGCTTTTTTTTTTTTTTTTTTTATAGCTGCCTGGAAGTTGATTCAGTTTTTTAAAAAAAAAATTTTATTGAATTTTTTGGGGTGGCATTGATTAATAAAATTATGTAGGTTTCAGGTATACAGTTCTATAGTATATCATCTGTATATTGTATTGTGTGTTCACTACCCAAAGTCAAGTCTCCTTCCATCACAATTTATCCCCACTTTACCCTCTTCTACCTCTTCCCAGCCCCCTTCCCCTTTGGTAATCACTGTACTGTTTTTGGTATCTACGAGTTTTGTTTTGTTTTTTGTTTGCTTAATTCCTTCACCTTTTTTACCGAGTCTTCCAACCCACCTTCCCTCTGACAGCTATCAGTCTATTCTCTGTATCTGTGAGTCTGTCTGTATTTTGTTTGTTAGTTTATTTTGTTCAGTAGAGTTCACATGTAAGTGAGATCATATGGTATTTGTCTTTCTCTGATTGGTTTTTTTCACTTAGCATAATATCCTCCAGGTCCATTCATGCTTTTCTAAAGGGTAAGATTTCCTTTTTCATGGCTGAGTAGTATTCCATTGTGTAAATGTTCCACAGCTCTTTTATCCACACATCTACTGAGGGGCACCTGGGCAGCTTCCGCCCCTGCCACTACGACGGCAGTCAGCCTCACCCACGTGCCAGCCCTCAGAACGGGGGAACAGGAGGGTGGGCAAAGAGGGCAACCCTCTTTAAAATGGAGATCCAGCCCTGGCTGCTGTGGTTCAGTGGATTCGGTGCTGTCCCACAAAGCGAAATGTTACCGGTTGGATTTTCTCGGTCAGGGCACATGCCTAGGTTGCAGGTTTGGTCCCTGGTCAGGGTATGTACAAAAGGACTGATGTTTCTCACATTTCTCTCCCTTTCTTTTTCCCTCCCTTCCCCTCTCTCTAAAGGTAAAAAAAAATTAAAATTGAGATCCAGAAGTTTCAAATGTCCCTTGTCCTCTCATCACTTCAGCTGCAGGGAAGCCTGAGAAATACGTTCTGTAGCTGCACAGCCGTGGGTCCAGAGACAACATGGGATTGTGTCACTACGAGGGAGAAAGACAGGAGAGGGACTGGGAGCTAACCAGCATCTCTGCCACAGTCATCCCATTTAATCTGCTGTCTGCGGAAGATTTAATTAAGATCTCGCTTAACAGTGGTTGCATAATTCTTACTCTTCTGAGGGTCTAAAGATGCTTATCCACCGGGGGTTCTGTCCACTGAGCCCATCTTGTCTGTGAGCCAGAGTTTGGTGGGTTTTGCAGCCCGGAGCTGGAGGTGCCCAGAGTTGCTTTCCAACCATCCTGGCTATTACACTGAGCTCTGTTTTGTATGTTGGGGTTCAGAACTCGAAAGGAGTTAGGTCATAGCTCACTGTCTTCTCACGAAGTCTGCCGTCCATTCAGGTCGATGGCTTGGTGGGATTTTGCCTCATGGGAGCCTCTTTTGAACTTATGTGTGTAATTTTCACCTAACTCTAAAGTCGCTTGAATTTGACAGGATCCTAAGATACTTAAGAGAGGCTGTTGAACTTGATGAGATCTTACATTCTTTCATATTTTTAGGACTATACAACTCTTACAGATATTTAAAATACCTTTTTGAGCTCGGGACTTCTCCGATGGCTTTCACTTGTGCCTTTTGGCCTGGGGCGTCCCTCGTGGACAGGGTGTCACCGTGGGGAGCAGTCACTGCCCGCTGTAATGAATGCAGCCACCGTTCATTGCTTAGAGCAGGCATTTGCACCTGCTTCTAGGAGGAAATCCCTTTGTTTAGGATTGCCCAGGGCTTCCTTGGCTTTGATCTTTGGGATCAGCCTTTTGCTTGACTTCCCCTTTCATTCTCTACCCCTTTGTCTCCATCTCGAAGTGCATTTTGAAAGGGCCCTGTTTGCTTTTAGCCCCCAGATGGCAAACCTCCCCGACCCCGGAGGAGCTGGGCGACAGCACGGCTGTGCTTTGATCAGGGCTCCCGGCGCTGCTCGGGGAGGTTGCATGGTCTGTGGCTCCTGGGCCTCGCTCCTAGAAAAAGGAAATGCACTTCAGGGAGGAAATGGCTGGCGGAGTTGAGAAACTCGATCAGGGATGTGTGTGTATTTTTCTCTGGCTGCTTCCTGTCCCTCCCCAGCTTTATCTCCTGCTTCTCTGCTCCTTTCGAGGTGTGTGAGAAGTTAATGATCGGCTCCTCTTACACTAAGTGCTGACTTTGTGGCATCTCTCGGCCAGCGCTTGCCCCAGCAGGGTGCTAAATCAACGTCTGAACACCTAAATGCGGGCTGGCTGTCCACTGGCTGAGCATTTCTCCTCTTTGATTGCCAGCGATAGCACCGAGAACAAAGATGCTTTTAGCTTCGTGCAGGAGGTTGCCTGTTCTTTTTCATGTTTCCCATTCACCCTCGTCTGAACAGTCAGTTCTTGCCACAGTGAGTTAGTTTATCTTCTCATCCTCCTGGGCGGACATCCTTCCTCCATTCTCAAAGCTTGATCTCACCTAAATATTTGTCTGAATTGTAAGTGTCACCTTTTCTTTGATCAAAGGTGCCCTCTTTGAAATGCAAAGTCCGACTGAACCGGTCAGCCTGACCCTTCCTGGGAAGGATCCTGCCCCTGGGGTGTGTCTGGGAGGAGGTGGGAGAAGCAGGTGACCACGCTCAGGGGGACAGAGAGAAGCCAGACCAGTGAATGGGTTTCAACCTTTTGACCTATAAAGACTTGCCTTTATCAATTCCTTCTCTAAGGCAGTATCAACTTCTAAAATTACTGTTTCCCTTAGGAGAAAAATTAAGTTCAATTTGAATGCCCTCTGAGAGAGAAATGAAATACTAAGGAATAAGACTTTGTGGGATACGGTAGAGCTTGGGAGGGCCAAAACCATTGTGATAGCTAGGATTTTTTTTCCACACCCTGTTCTGCCAACTGATTTTTGCCCACGTGAGGGTGATATGGTCCCTCCTAAGGATACTTGCTCTAAGGACTCCATGTTTTGGAATAAGAGCGCCCCCTTATGGGCCAGGTGCTGTATCTGTTACCCCCTTTAACTTCCCAATATCCTTCCAAGGTAGGTGCTTACAGACATCTACCCGGGTACAGACATGAACACCTTACAGACAGGAAACCAAGGCACATAGAAGTTGACTGACTTGCTTGGGTCACACAGCTGTTAGCCAAAGGAGCCAGGAGTCAGCTTCGGGAAGTGAGACTCTGGCGTCCTCTGACTATGCAGGCTACCCTGGGACAGTAGGGAAACAAGCACACTGCCTTGCCTCTCCTTTTCTTTTTAAAATTGGGATGTAATTCACACACCACAAACATCGTGTGCAGTTACAATTCAGTAGTTGTGCAATCATCACCGCTCTCTGATTCCAGAACATTTTCATCAGACCAAAGAGAAACCATGGACCCATCAGCAGTCACTCTTTGCTGCCCCTGGCCCCGCCCCCAGCAGCCACTACTCCATAGATTTGAATGTTCTGGATATTCCATTTAAATAGTCATGTAACATATGACCTGTAGTTATTGGCTTCCTTCACTTAGCATAATGCATTCAAGATTCATCTGTGTCCCAATAGGTATCAGTACTTCATTCCTTTCCTGGCTGAATCCATTGTATGGCTAGACACATTTTATTTTCTCTGTTCATCTGTTGATGGATGCTTGGGTTGTTTCCACTCTTTGGCTATTATGAGTAGTTCTGCTGTGAACATTTGTATACAAGTTTTGTGTGCAGACATATGTTTTCAGTTCTCTTAGGTATATACCTAGGAGTGGAATTGCTGGGTCATTTGTAACTTTGTGTTTAACCTTTTCCCCCCACCTTTAAAAACAAAATTGATTTTAGAGATAGAGAAAAGGAGGGAGGGAAGGGGGGGGGAGAGAGAGAGAGAGAGAGACAAACATCGATTTGTTCCACTTATTTATGCATTCATTGGTTGCTTCTTGTACAATATGTTCCCTGATGGGGGATTGAACCTGCAACCTTGGTGCATTGAGGCGACACTCCAACCAACTGAGCTATCCAGCCAGGGCTCTATGTTTAACCTTTTGAGGAACTGTCAAATTCTTTTCCAGAAACTTGTATGATTTTACATTTCTACCAGCAATGTATTGGGATTCAGATTTTTCAACATCCTCTACAGCAACTTGTTTTTGTCTTTTTGATGATAACTATCTGAACAGAGGTGACATATTTCATTGTGGTTTTGATTTGAGTTTCCCTGATGACTAATGATTTTGAGTATCTTTTCAAGTACTTATTACCACTTGTATGTTTTCTTTGGAGAAATGTCTTTCAGATCCTTTGCCTATTTTTAAATTGGATATTTGTCTTTTTCATTGTTGAGCTGTAGGAGTTCTTTATATATTGTGGATACAAGTATCTTATCAGATACATGATTTGCAAATGTTTTCTCCCACTTGGTGGATTACCGTCTCATTTTCTTGAAAACGTTTTTTGAAACACAAAAAGTTTTGATGAAGTCCAACTTATCTATTTTTCCTTCTCTTGCCTTTGTTGACTTTCGGAGTCCTTTCTGAGAAACCATTGCCTGGGCCAAGGTCATGACAATTTACATGTATGTTTTCTTCTAAGAGTTGTATTGTTGTAGCTCTCATATTGATGGTTAGACCCAGTTGGAGTTAATTTTTGTCTCTTGTGTACATGGAATGAGGTAGGGGTCCATTTTCATATGGAGATTTGGTTGTACCAACATGTTTGTTGTTCTTTCTCCATTGAATTGTCTTGGCAACCTTGTCCAAATTCAGTGGTCTATAAATGTGTATGTCTGTCCTTCTGCCCACTGGACCATGATTTTTGAGTCCAATTTTCTTGGAACAGAAATACCTTCAGGGCAGAAGTGGTTTGGCTTGTGGGAATTCCCCTTAGTTCTGTGGGGTTAGGATTTCGCCCAGCGTTTGGCCTGTCGATTCTTCATTGTCTAGCCAGTTCTTCAGGACTTTTAGGATGATGTTTTATTTAATTTATTCATCATTTTTTCATTGTTTTCAGCAAGTTATTTCTAAAAATCTAGCCTACCAGTATAAAAAGTAGAATCCAAAATTGTGTATCTCTGACTATGAGACTTGGGACAGTATATTCCTGAGAAGATTAATTTTGGGAAGTAGCAAAATTATTCATGGCCTCTTAGAAAACAATCATGGTGTTGTTTACTATTGCTTTTAAAGCCAGATTCCTTATTGCTATCATAGCAGCTTTCATTAACTGAGCCCCTTTTCTGTCCCAGGCTTTCTCCTGGGGAACTATACTCTTCAACCTCATTAACACGACAAACCTGTAAGATGATGGGCATTCATATTATTGTTTTTCCTGTTTTATGAGTGAGGAAGCTGAGACCTGAAGGCTCCGAGACTTGCCTAGGGACGCACAGCGACGAGCAGCTGAGTGTGACCCAGACCCTGGTCCTCGGACCCCAGAGCCAGGCCCTGGACCCCAGGGCGCCCCCCTTCTCCTCGCCCCACTTTCTCACGTGTTTACAACTTCTCATTCCTGGGCTGCACGCCGGGGCCCGAGGCACCAGGCAGAGTCACGCTAGGAACCTGCAGCTTTTCCGTGGTCTCAGGGAGTTTTGTTGCAGTTTTGTTGTCCCCACTTTGAGAAAAGCTGGTCTACAGGTTACGTTGTGAACCACTGGATATTGTGCACTTATTGTTCACTGCTATTTCTTTTACTGAAGGACAAGTTGATATTTTTCCAGGGTCTGGGGAATGGCCCTTTCCTCCCTAGTTCATTGCAAAGCTGTTGAAATGTCAGTTACTTTGAAAAGAAAGGGTTACACTTAGCGCTTTGTGAGCCCTGCTATTGGGTAGAAGTGAAAGCCTTGCAGTCAGAACAACTTCGATAGTAATGATGTAGCAATAGGGGCTGAAGGGGAAAAAGAAGTTTCTGGTTAGTTTAAAAAAGAAGAATCACAACCTCTCCTTTTCTTTCTCCCTAATTTGTTTTCTCTCAGATTGTGAAGTGGTCAGACTGTTGTTTGCCATTAGCTTGCAGACCTGGGGACCCTTATCAATTAATTGCCAGAGCAAGTGTGGACGACTTCAGCAAGCTGGGGGTGGCGTTCATGGAAGACCGGCTCCAGATGGCTAATGGGCTGATACCCCAAAAGATTGTTTGTAAGTAACTGTCAAGGTTTTCTTTGTAGCAGGTGCCATAGATTATTAGCTTAGGGACTTGAGTGCTCCTATTTGGAATGACTTAGGGGCACGCTTATTTTCAGTTAGTTCAGTCAACAGGTTAGATTTCCATAATAGTATAAAATTCATACATCTCTCAGGTTTTTTGAAGCGCTTAACCTGGAGTACATCATTAGTGCTTTTAAAACTCTTAAACAAGGACATCCATAATTGCATTGTCATTGAGCGAGCATGCAAATTCAGAACCCATGTAATATTTATTTCCCCCAGTCTAATGCAGTATAACTAGTTTCTAGACTACGCTTGATTGAATGACAAGCATAGTCAGTGTTACTGTGAAGTTGTAAACCTTAGCGGGGTTTTACCTGAAATAGACACACCACGATATTTTGGGACACATTTTTTTTTTTTAGGAAATGCACAAAATGTTCTTGCTTAATTGAGTTTCAAAGCTGGTCCTTTACGGCCACGAAAGTCATGCAGGTACCCCGCTAAAGCGGGAGCAGCGAGCAAGTGAGCGTCACTTACGAGCTCGGAAATTTCGGTAAATTGCTCCGTTTTCCCATTTGCCATGTGCATGTGCCTAATACCTTGTCAGACATGTAGCAGGTGCTTGATAAATGGTTTTTGAAGCGGTGATTGTCAACTGTATTTCAGTCCTGAGACAAGACCCTGGCAAGCCCCTTCTGCCCAGTTGATCTGACACGTGTGCTGGGCATAACTTTTCCCTGGGTGTGCTTGATGATTTTGTTTTGTACTTTCATTATCATCTAGGAGATTGACACCCAAGAAATCAAATCTAGAAGTAAGTAGGCCAAGCTCACATTTTTTACTAGGCAGAGAGGGAATCTGAAGTTTTCAGATCTTTGCATGGCAAGGTGTTGTGGAGGCTCGGATTTCACTTGGGATGGGCCCCCCTTCCTGGCAGGTGGGAGCAATGACACGGTTCCAAAGGCTGCAGCTGTGTTGAGGTGGGGCTGCTGGGGAGCGCGAGTCAGGGGGCTCCAAGAGCTTTTGAACCGAGCTGCAGGACATACCAGAGGAGCTGACTGTCTCTTCTGCTCATGCTTTAGCAGTGCACCTGCAGGACTCTGCTCTGAAGGAACTTACGGACCAGGCCATGAACAAGCCGGCCCACATCCTGCAGCCGAGCCCCGCCCCTGCCGCTGAGGGTGAGCCTGACGCAGGTGTGATGGAGCATGCTGGCAAAGATGACCCACAGGTTCTTGGGGCAGACCCCACCCAAGGGCTAGATGGCGCCTCTGGGAGTGAGCCTGCCCAGGAGAGTGACAGAGGGGAGGGCTCCGTCGAGCTCTGTCACCTCCATCTGTCTAGTTGCCATGAGTGTTTGGAGCTGGAGAACAGCACCATTGAATCTGTCAAGTTTGCATCTGCAGAGAACATTCCAGATCTTCCTTACGACCCCAGTGGCAGTTTGGAGGGTGCTGCTGATGCCATCCGCCCTGAGAGAGAAGAGAAGAGAGTCAACATCACGGGGAAGGCACCCAACATCCTCATCTACGTGGGCCCTGACTCCCAGGAAGCCCTAGACAGGCTTCAGCAGGTCCAGTCTGTCCTGGCCGACTGTGTGGACCCTGACGGCTACACCCTCTACCACCTGTCGCAGGAGAGTGCACTCAGAGACCCATGGTCAGACAACTGTCTGCTGTTGGTCCTTGCTACCAGGGAGTCTGTTCCCGAAGACCTGCACCAGAAGTTCATGGCCTACCTTTCTCAGGGAGGGAGGGTGCTGGGCCTGTCTTCGTCCTTCACGTTTGCTGGCTTCCGGGTGACCAGCAAGGCCGGACTGCGGGAGACAGTCCAGGACTTGGTTTTCTCCAAGGCTGACCAGAGCCAGGTGAAGCTCAGCATCCTGAGCAGCGGCTGTGTGTACAAGGAGGGCCCCGGGGAGCGGCTCAGCCTGGGCAAGCTCCAGGGCCACCTGGAGAATGAGGACAAGGACAGGCTGATTGTGCAAGTGCCTTTTGGAACACGTGGAGGAGAGGCTGTTCTTTGCCAGGTAGGGGGGCGGGTGTCCCTGTCATGATCTTTGGGTAATCCTGATGGGGAATACGCCCCCTGTGGCTGAGCATTGGAAGGTTCACGAGTCTGCACCATAGGGCACTTTTGCCCGTGGCTGGGAGTCTGCTGATTTGAGTAGATGGTGTGGATCAGGGCTTTCCTGTCGCATGGATATCTCGTCTCACCAAAATACTCATAAGCGAGGAATGTGGCAGACAGTGATATGGCCAATTTAACCAAAGATTAGTCAGAAAATTCTTTCTTGTTTTGTTCTGTGCTGGTAATACTCTTTCTAATATGCAGTAGTCCGCTTCCTCGCCTCAAAGCACACTGGTTGATAAAATCAAACCTTTATGGAGTGTAGTGAGGTGTACGCCTTGGGGTGGTGATTCCAAAGGGAGGTTTTGGAATTGCTGCCCAACAGGCGGGGCCGAGAGTATTGAAAACGTCTTCAAAATCTCTGTTTCTGTCTTATGATTTGTCACTCTTAAAATCTGAGTGCTGAGGAAAGTTTCAAATAAGAGGATATTGATGTGATTTAGATATAGGGCATACTAATACGTAGGTAAGAAAAAAATGGAAAGGGAAATGAAAGGAAAGGCTCCTCTCTGCCCGTCCTTAGGTGGTCCTGTGGCTCAGCTGCTGGAGTTTTTCCCCTACCCTTTCCCTTTTAGCTTTTTGTTTGTTTGTTTGTTTGGTTAAGTAAATGGTGGTAGGATAGACTATTCCAGAAGTCCTTATCACTTACTGCAAATCTTTTAATGCCTTCTGGCAAAAGTTCTTGTTGGAGTTAGATAACATTCTCCTTGAGGATTTGGTGAACTAATGAGACAACCAAGGAGATGGAGATCTTTCGCCCAGAATAGTTCCCAGGATGAGTATAACAGACTTTGTTTCATAATAGGAATCTCTTTATTGAATTAGAGAACTGTTTAATCTTTTGTTGTTGTTATTTTCATTTTCTGTCTCTCTTTCCAGCCTTCCTGAGTCTGTCTGGTTTTCTGATCAAACATTTTCCAAGGGTATATGTTTGTTTCTTTACCATTTTCCCCACTCATTGTTCCTAAGATAATAGTCAGCCAAAGATGCCTATAAATACAGAATCTGGACATCAGGACAGATGGACGTGGACAACCCAGTCGGATTTTCTCTTGGTTGCAAACAGCATGAATTTGTTTTTGGAAGCCTAATAAATGTTCCTCTTATCTTTTTCTCTGCAAATTCAGCACTATACAGTAACTATAGTAAATGTGCTTTCTCAGAAAATGCACTTAAAAACCCAGCTTCCAAGGGCCATATTTCAGTTTTGCATAGTGACTTTTACCACCCTGGTGTGCAGACTTGTACTAGAAAATTGATTTGGCCCCGTTGCGATCCGTTTCTCTGAGTTGCTGCAAGTCGTCTTCCTGTGCCTTTCCGTTGGCCTCACTTCTGTCATAAAATTTGATACTGCGTGCATTGCTCTAGGAAAAAAGGCAATATGATGCAGCTTCAGAAATCCGATTCAGAGGATTAGAGTGTCATTTCTGATCTTAAATGGCTCCCAGCCTCTGGGGCAGGGTCACTGTTTTCTCTCCGGGCCTGTGTCACTGCGGCACCTCGCCGCCGAGGTCAGCCAGCAGCCGCCATCCCCGGCTGGTTGGTTTCCTCTGTCCCCGTTCTGTTTCACGGCCCTCAGCCCTGTAATAAACCGAGTAATGATGTAACCCAGTAAGAGGAGTCAAGGCCCTTCAAGGGCGGCCTCAGCTGCACAGTAGGCGGTTGTCTGGTGGCTTTTGCCATCCGTCACCACAGAGGAAAAGGGGATTTTGCGGTCCCGACTGGCTGATCAGGTTTGCAGGGGAGGTTTGGGCCTGTGGATTAATGCTGGCATTGGATTATCAAAGGGGCCCAGAGTTTGGCATGAAATCCAGATAAAATCTCTAAAAGGGATTTAAAAAGACATATATGCAGGGTTGGCAAAAGGAGGTTTACAGTTGTGAGTACATCAAACATGGAATTTATTCTGGTATTATGATTCATTATTGTATTATTTTCCATATGAACAACTGTAAACCTCCTTTTGCCTTACCCTGTGTATTTTATATATACGAGGTCTGTCTGGAAAAAGTCCAGCTATTCTTAATATAAGGAAAATGGTTTGCTCAACATCGATTAACCTACCAGCCAAGGCGAGTAGACTGGGATGCGCATGTGTGAACAAAGATGACTTCACTGTACTAGTCAGTGGGGGCGGTAGACACCATCGAGTGAGCACATGTACTGTGTGGCCATCACATTTAAAATGACTGAGTGAGTAGGGCAATGAATCTACGTCAGATTTTGCATTAAGCTTGAACAGTCCTCTGTGCAAACTATTTGGATGATTGAGAAAGGCCGCAGCTGTGGGCAAGTGGTGATTGGCAGCTTCATCACAACAGTGCACCTGATTATGCATCACGTCTCATGCAGGGTTTTTTGATGAAACATCAAATCACCCAGGTGACTCAGCCCCCCACAGCCCAGATTTGGCGCCCTAAGCCTTCAGGCTTTTCTGAAAACTAAAATCACCTTTCACAGGGAAGAGATTTCAGACCATTGATAAGATTCAGGAAAATACAACAGGGCAGCTGACAGTGACTGGGAGAACTGTGTGAGGTCCCAAGGTCTCCACTTTAAGGGGGACTGAGGCGTCATTGTCCCATGTACAGTGTTTCTTGTATCTTGTGTCTCCGTCAGTAAATGTCTCAATTTTTTATATTCCATGACTGGATACCTCCTGGACAGACCTCATATGTGTAAATTGATATTAATTTTATTCATTTAAATTTTTAAATTTTCAATTACAGTTGGCGTGCAATGCATTAGTTTCAGGTATACAGCGTAGTGATCACACATTTATGTAACTCACAGAGTGAGCACCCTGACTAGCCTAGCACCCATCTGACGCCATACAAATGTATTTTTTTTCCACAATTAGCTTAGCATGTGGCAGGAGTGGCTCTGCTTTTACAGCAGTTTCTCACGTGGTGCCGTGGACATTTTGGCCAGACCCTCCTTTTTGTGGGGCCGTCCTGTGCCTCGTCTGGTGTTCGCAGTGCCACCCACTAGATGCTGGTAGCACCCCTGCTCTCTAAAAACCTTCATTTTAGAAGAAGCCAAGTTTCAGAAATGGGAGCATCACCGTGGTAACAGTGTCACAGCCAGTGGAGGAGGAGACACTGGTCGTACGCACGGAGGACCGCAGTGCCTAACCCTCATGCGCGCTCTACAGTTGGGGTTGGGCTGTGGGGGGAGGTGCGGAGCCACACGTGGCCTCTCTTCTTGCTTCCACTGTGGAAGCTTCTCGTCTTGCCACTGACCAAAGTGCTCCTCACAGTCTCAGTGGCTGTCCTTGTCTTTCGTCCCTGGGAAGGCTGGACACCCACCTGCAGGTGCAGTCTCCCCACCGCCCTGTCTCTTCCTCCACGTCTCCCACGTGACAGCGAGTGCCATACCCTGCGCTGCCCAGGCTTCTGGGATCTGTTTCCAGCCCAGGGAGCACGCCTGCCCTTAGCTACGCCCCGCTCCCTGGGGCCCAGATGGGGATGGAGCCTCGGGCGTTTTACCTGTGCCACCTGTGCGGGGTGGCCTCCACGTTGCCATGAGTTCATGCGAGTGCAGCGTGGCCTGTCGCTGTGCTCATTGGCTGCACCAGCCCCCGCTTCATCCCCCGGGGAAGAGAGGGCACGGTTAGGCTAAGACTGTGGTGCAGGAGACTCAGTACGATTCGGAATCCGTGGAAGAGTTCGCTTTTCTGCCTGCGCCCTCTCCGGGCTGTTTTGAGGACAGGCTCACCTGCTGCTGCTGCTGTCCAGCTGGCTTGGTCGTGGGTGAGGCGGCAGCCAGCTGTCCTAGGTGGCGAGCGGACACCACTCTACCATCCTTATCTGAGTGGCCTCCTCTTGCAATGCTGGGACCCTTGGGACAGTGTTTGTGGACAGTGTTTCTGGCTTGGTTAATGCTTGGGTGGGAATTAGAGACTTCAAGTTGCCCGAAGGCTGGCACCGGGCTTTTTGTTTTCATGATGCTCCTGTAGCGGCAGGTCAGAGCCCTGACCCCTGGCTGAAGCACCACAAACAAAGCAAACACAGTCAGGATGCTGCCCTGGGTACTCAGCACTCGGGCTTCCTGCAGGCTCTGGGGCCCAGTTAGAATCCCATCTCAAAGGAGCTACACGTTCTGGTACCTTCCCCTTAGCAAGACACACACCTTTCATGGATAGGTGGTCCTGTTTCTGTTTTAACTGCACAGAGCGAAGCCTGAAGGGAACGCAGGAAGTTCCTAGTCTGAAAACTCAGGCAGGCGAAGGAGGGAGGTGGGGCAGGGCTTCCGGGTCCCCCAAACCCACTCCTCAGTTTGGGTTTCTGCAGACACACATGCACGAGGAAGGAGACTCCTGTCCTTCCTGGGCTGCTTCCCAGGAGCCATGGCTTGTAGGTAGAGGGGTGTTTCAGGCCCCGCCCACGGTGCCTCCCGGAGTTCAGGAGTGGCTTTATGTGGGCTCTCAGCACAACCATATTTCTTGATCATATAAGCAAGTTAAGTGACTTGTCCAAGGTCCCAAGACTGGTTAGCGATAAAGTTGGGACCCGAAAAGAGTTTGATTACTATCCTGGGCCATTTCCAGCACAGCCTCCCAGCCTGACATCCATGGTTTTAATAGGCTCTTCTGAATCTTTTTATTGCTTGGCATTACTTTCTAAATACTCAGGTTCAAAGTTCAATTGTGCTGATCATTAGCAGGATTTATGTTCAAGGTGTGAGAAACACTGGCAAAGACTGTGTTTGTTAATGTCTCTAAGTGCCCCCCATTCATGAAGTGGTGTTTCTTCCCCTCAGGTGCACTTAGAACTACCTCCCAGCTCTTCAGTAGTGCAAAAGGAAGACTTTAACCTCCTCAAAACTAGCAATATTCGAAGATACGAAGTCCTTAAGGAGATCCTGACCACCCTGGGCCTAAGCTGCGACATGAAGCAAGTTCCTGCCTTAACACCCCTTCACTTGCTGGCGGCGGCGGAGGTAAGGACGCGTGCTCAGCTAGGAAGGGGGCACCCAGGGGACCCCTCCTCAAATTGGCCGTCCTGCGCCAACTCGTCTGTTGCACTGGGCTTTGACTTGATTTCTGTTTTGACTTCAGACCAGTCTTAGAGGTGTCCAAGTATAACTCTTATTTTTGTCATTTGCGTGACGGGGAGAGAGGCTACTAGAGCTTAGAAGGGCTTAAGTCATAAGGTTCTGGCCCTCCCCACTTGATGGGGAAAGGGGTGATTGTTTTGTGTCTTAAGTGTGTGTTTGGAAGCCACAATTTATGCATTTGGGATTGAAAAACCTTTTGTTTTGATTTAGACCTTTGTCAGTGAATTTCGGGGAGGGAAAAAATTAATCACAAGTTTGGTTTGTTTTTGTGCTGACGTCTGCCATCTTGTGGCCAAGGGGGTTCTGGATTTGGTTTATATCTTAGTCGCGTCTAAGCGGGAAATGACCATGGAGCTGGCAATGTGTGCGGCAGTTTTCTGGCCTTGTGTCGGCGCATGATGCCTGTGGTTGATGCCTGCTTTGAGCTGGCTGCCAGATTCTCCAGGCGTGTCTTCTTGCTAAGCACTTTGCTTTGCCAAGCTGTCAATTTCTTATTAATTGTAGAAAATTATTTTGTGGGACTATTTCTGTTGTTTCCACTAAATAGGGAAATTGGTGAGTTTAGTGACAAAACCTGGCAGATTCCGTAAATATCTAATAGTCCACGTGGCTCCAAACAACAAACTGATCTGCTTTTCCTTGAAAAGAGCACATTGAATCTCCTACCCTGACATTTTTAAGGGGAGGAGCTCTCCTTCCCTTGGCCAGCTCGCTGTGCAGGGGGAGCGGGGCTGTGAGCCCTCACTGGGGGAGGGCAGGTGCGAAATCTAGAACGTTTAAGGTTTGCATATTTTACGGGAGTGTCTGAGGACTGGATGAAATAATATATGCCATAGTTAATAGTTAATATGTAAGTAAGTTGTGTGACTTAAAAGATAGTACAATTATTAATATTAATAGATTGTTGGGAGGTTGAGTGTTACAAGTGTCCATGTTTCTAACAAGTGCCTGATATGATAGGTAATAATTTTTAATTTAAAAAATTAATAATAAAGCAATGGGTGCTTTTTCCCCCACATAAGAAGCATTTTTTAATTGCATTTTCATTACACAGTGTTTAGCCAATTTGCCCTCTTTTTTTAAAAAAAATTATATTTTAGAGAGAGGGGAAGGGAGGGAGAAAGGGAGAGAAACATCATTGCATGGTTGCTTCTTGTGTGCCCCCAATGGGTTCCTGGCCCGCAGCCCAGGCATGTGCCCTGACTGGGAATCAAACCTGCAGACTTTCGTTTTGCAGGCTGCTGCTCAACCCACTGAGCCACACCAGCCAGAGCAATTTGCCCCCTTTTTAATGGGTGCTCTTGAGAATTAATGGTATGCCTTTTGTTTGCACCTTCATCCCAGGAAATCAAAGTTCCATGCCATTTATCTGTTGAACGTGTTCCATTGATAGAAGGAAAAGCACCACCTCCATTCATCTGGGGACTTACAAAAAATTACCAAAATAAAGCTGGTCCTCAGAGCTTCAACTCTTGTAGAGGATCCACCTACAGACCTGCCACCTAACCATGTGGGTAATGGGAGATGTGACTGTCACTCTCCTAGACCTTCCCCTCCCCCCTCTCCTGAGCACGGAGGGCCGGGGCTGGGCAGGTGAGGTGGTGCCTCCCTGGCCTGAAGGAGGCTCATAGCCCAGGAGGTCAGGGACAAGACAGACCTGGGCTTGCCCTTGGCCATGCTCCCTGCCCTTTCCTGGGAGCTGTTTTGACTGTGCTGGCCTTGGGACATGCACCTCTTGACTCTTAGGCATAGCAGTGGAGAAGAAAGGCTGACCCCAGGTTTGTCTCCTGTGAGCAGAAGTTTGTAAGTCGAGGCCTGTCCTATGTCTCCTTTACGGTGGGCACCGTGTAGAACACCGAAGGCTTTGACTTGGTGTCTGCTTATATTACAGTTCACAGCAGGCGCTTCATCCTTTTGTCCTTCTGGCTCTTTAAACTGCCTGGGCCGGGGCAGGGGTGTCCAGCCTGAGGCCTGGGGGCCACATGCAGCCCAGGATGGCTGTGAATGCGGCCCAACACAAAGTCATAAATTTACTTAAAACATCATGAGATTGTTTTGTGATTACGTGTTGCAGTGTATTTAATGTGTGGCCTAAGACAACTGCTGTGCTTCCAGTGCGGCCTAGAAGAGTGGACACCCCTGGCGCTGGGGGACACATTTTCCCCTGTCGATTTCCCCTGTTCACAAACCAGAAAATGAAACACGTGAACAAGATTCAAGCCAAATTTGTTCTGCATACATATACACAAATATTTCCCACAGACTCCAAGCCTACAAAATCCTGTATTCTAACTTTGGAAAAGAGTAATTTTTGGCAACGTTCACCTCTCATTTTGGGCCTCCATTTGGTCTGGTCGATCTTGGGTATCTCTGCTGCGGACGACTTTCCCTCCCAACTGCCTCTGTCTGGGTTCTGTTTCACTTTGGGAGCCCAAGGAATGGAGTGAGCAAGTGTGTTGATGGTTGTGTAAACCCTTATTTCTTAGTGTTTATTCATCCCTCCTAGCAGACGTTGACATTTCCTGTGGTTGCAGAAAAGAAAGGTAAGAATTTAGAGCTTTAGAGTATGTTTTCCTGGAATACAAATTCTCTAAAGGACTGCCATGCAAAGGAATGGGAAGGTGGCCACTTGCCCACTGTGAAGGCCTTTCTGGTGGCAGCTGGGTGGTATCTGCTCTTCTCCTGATGCCAAGCCAGGGACACTTTAGAGCAGCTTCTGGTCATCGTGCTGGTGGTTCAGTACGTGTGGCTGTGGATGGCAGATTGGGACTAGAGCACTTTATACTTCTGTTGCTTTGCTGCAGCCTTCTTAGTGCACCTCATTGATCCCCATGGACCCAAGCGGCATCCTGGCATCCAGTTGCGTTAGACACGGCCCGCCCTTAAGTTCATCACCTGCCTTCCATGGTCGGTGCCTGGTGCCTGGTGCCTGGTGCCTGCTCTGGCTGTCTGCTTCCTGTAAAATGCTGCGAGCTGTTGGGATCAAAGGCCTCTGACCACATGGTGTCGCTGCTGAGCTAGGATGCCTGGTGAACCGTAAAGTAGTTCGGAGATTCCGTATTTTTCTCTCAAGATCAATTTCACTTAGTATAATTTAGTAGTTTTCCATGATACCGGTGGCACTTTCTTTTGGGTCTGTAGAGATTGTTTCAGTGTTACAGTTAATAGTATTCACCTTTCATTAAACATTTACTGTGTACTAGGTACCCTTACAGGAAGGAATATGAAAGAACAAAATATACACACTAGTTATCTAAATACTTTTACTGCATACCAGCTGTGTTTATACAGTTTGGTGCCTAGACACTCGCTCTTTATAGCAATAGCGCAGGAGATTTATGAGGCGCCTCTGCGCTTCCATGTTGCTGCGATGTGAATGGAAGTGACTAGCACAGCGACCCCAGTAGAAAAAGCACCTCCAGCACAGAGGGCTTCGATGTTTTCTGGGGGGTGTTCTGAGACTTCGCTGACACCCAAACACCCCAGTAACATGTGATTTCCATTGTTAAACCCAGTTGCTATGATTTCACAGTGTCACCATGCATGACAAGACTAGGGAACTAGGCTCGCTGAGGTGCAGAATTCCGCTGGCCAAGCTGGACTTCCTCTCTGACCTGGGTCTTCCTGTTTAATTGAACCTCGCAGGGGCAGGATTAAAATTCAGGCCTCAGCAAACTTATGCTATGTCAGAGTAAAGCAATAAGCTCATGCATACCACCCACCTCAGTCCATAGAAAAAAAACTGGAAGGAAATACAGTACGAGAGTATATGTGGTCTGTTTTTGAGTAGGGGGAGTAAGGGTAATTTTAATAAGCTTTTAAAACTAACTTTGTGCTTTCTGAATTTTCTATAATATACATGTTATTATTTTTCTAAAGACCAAAACCAAGTATTAAAAATTAAACAAATTACTGTATATAGTAGACTTTGAAGGGATTCCATAAGTGGTAAGGAGTCCCATATGGATGTTAATACTGTATTTAATGTTCAACATCTACATGGATTACTTAAAAAGCGTTAGCTTTGTTAGTAAGTGACTTTAGGCTGGTGAGTGGCCACTAGACTTACCTGTGGTCTCATGGCCTCAGCTGTCCCTTGGCTCCTGTGGGCAGAGGGTCCTTCAGGTTCACAATTTGAGTGCCCTACCCACACTTGGGTGTAGCAGTTTCTTGGTGGAACACCTTGAACCGTTTCTCAGAGAGGACTGCGTGTGTGCTGATACCACAAGGTGAGTCCTTTCAGGCAGGTGACCCCCCTTTCTGGAGGCGTGTGTGGAACGCGAGAGTCGTGGGCTACACCCTGGGCCGCAGGGCTCTGTGGAGCGAGATTACGGGGTGGCCAGTACCCGGGCCTGCACTGGGTGGTGGTGGGAAGTTCGCAGATGAAGGTGGGAACACGCCTTCCCTGGGCGGGCAGGGGCGGGGGGACATAGTGTGTGAGGGACACTGAGTTCATAGAAAAAGCAATTCTTCCCTTGCAGAACCTGAAGTTCCGTTGAGAAATTCGCCCTCTTGCTTCTTCCATTTTTATCCCTCCTGGGGAAAGGGCAAAAGCGGCGGCGGCCAGGGGTCTGCCCCGAGACAGACACAGGAACCTGAATGCAGGGCGGAGCCTCAGCCCCTGTCCGTCCCGCAGGCCCCCTTCCATCCCCAGTCCGCAGGAGGAGGAAGAGGAGGAGGAGGAAGAGGGTGGAACAGGCTACGGCCGCTGTGTGCTCCCTTCCCCCGGGCACCCCCGCTCCGTCCTGGGAGCACGAGGCTCTCCCTGAAACCGCAGCGCTGGGACTTGCGGGCAGTCCTGGCGGCCGGTCGCCAGTGATGTGCAGGGACCTGAGGGAGGAGCGGGCCGGGTGCTGGCAGCCGGCCTGCGAGGCTGTGTGTGG